TAAAAATTACATTTACAATGTAATGTGACTACTTCACCATCTTCTGTTTCTTTCATGCTTCAGGTTTTAAAACCTCTTTGCAGATTCAAAGTATATCGTATGTAGTACGTTTCAGCACACATTTTTACAAGTAATTTTACAAAAGAAACAAAAATATGTTTTACCAAAATTTTCTATAAACTATCCTGTAAAAAATTGTAATCAATAAAAAATTAGAAAATTATATTTTTTATAAATTAATTTAAATTTACAAAAAAATCTGTTATCAATTTTTTCTCTATCATAAAACTCCTCAAAGCAAACCCTGAAACAAAAATATCTTAAGCTAAAATACGTAACTTACACAAAAATTAGTATGTTAAAGTTATCTTATTAGGGTTTTCAAATTTTTGAAATTGTAATTTTTGAGAAAAATAGGTCAAACACGCGATGTTGCCGATAGTAACAACTTTTCTACACGTCTGTACAACCAAATATAGACTCTTAGAATCCGGCTGAAATGACATTCTTCATAATATTAACTTCTTTACAAATTAAATTTAACTTTATATTAACCAATAACAAAATTACTTAATCTTTTCTTCAAATTATTTTAAGTGCACATAGCAAACATTTCAAAGCAGACCCTCGGATTTCTTAAATGTTAAACACGTTCACTGATCCGCTCCCGACTTTGATCACTCAAAGGTAATTTTCACATTGCAGTAACATAAAGGATTTCTAGCACCTCCCAACATCCATATGAGCAAATTCCTACAATATTCAAATCTACCTATGAGAAAAAAATAAAATCCCAACAACAGTTAATAACCACCCTTTTGGGAAGAACAAAAGTGGAAAATTTAAGAGAATGATTGAATCATCTTTGGCCTACCAAGCGGTGGGAGATTCACATTCTGAAATTGGCTGTGGGTGTCGCAACAGAAATATATTGGGGGAATTTTACACCGGTTTAGTTTCAGAACCACCACCTTCAATTTGTGTGCTGACACTTGAGCCTTGCTGAGCTTTTGACTCCAGTGATGGATCAGGTTACACCTCAATTTTTGTTTCCGCAGAAGGATTATCCAAATTAGCATGTGCTGTGATTTCTGATACTTGTGTTTGCAACAACTGGGGTTCATAACTTGGTCCAGCCATAGATATGGGTCCAGGCATCTGAGCAGCGGTGACACCTGTCACTTGGGCTGCTGCTGTAACTTGTGCTTGAGATAGTACAGTCATCAGGAGCTGAGCCAAAAGTACCTGTGGATCATTATCACCTTGTTGTACTTGAGCATTAATTGCATTAGACAGAGCATTGATGTCAGGAGGGTAAAGGGCTTGAAGACCCAAGAGTGCTCCAGACAGAGCTTGCTGCTGGCCTACTCCAGATGAAGCTTGGGGATCATGAGCACGCCTTAGTTTCGATAAGTGCTTTTTTCCAGTCATTTGGCTCTGGTAAACAATTTGTGATTCACATTTAACGTCACACAACTCACATCTAAAAGACATGGTTTGTGCAGATTCCACAGTCTTTAAACCATCATTGGTTCTCATGTATTTACCTCCTTTTCCTCCTCCTTTCTTCTTCCGCTTTAATCCTCGGCCTCTTGCGGCAGAGCTATCCGTGTTTTTTGCCTCAGGTGCTTCAGAAGCCTCAGAAATGTTTCCTACATTATTCTGCTGCTGAGTTTCGTCCTCGTGATTATTAACTATAATCCTAGAGCCCATATTTTCTGCTGGGGATCCATTATTCTCAGACTCCTGAACTTGCTTAGGTTGATCTGTCAAATTCAATTGAGAGGTAGGAATTTGCGCATTCTGTTGTCCATTTAGAGCATTACGCCTTTGCAATTCTTCATGCATCCTCATATTCTTCTGATGTTTCTTCCCATTCTTGTGTTGCTCCAAGATTTCTGGAGTATTGCACTCAACCTTACAAATTTCACAGCACACCTTACGTGGTGCTGGTGGTTGCACTCGAGCTTGTTTAGGTAATTGTGTTGGCACAGAGACTGATGATGAAGGTTCTATCGCTGAACTAGTCCCAGCAGCAACAGGTGCACCAGCTACATGAGAAATAGCAGCACCAGAAGAATGAGATGGTGCGTGTCTACCACCTCCAACACCATGGCCCCTACCATGGCCCCGACCACGACCAGCCCCTCTAAATGGTCTACCACCCCGGCCACCCCTACCTCTGTATTGAGATGGTCCAGTCTGTAAATAAGAATTCACATATGAATTCAAGAACATATTGGTATGGTTACATTAATCAGGTACGAATGAACGAGAAATTTGAGAGTAAATTATTAGAATGACAAGATGTGCACAAACGATATAAAATAAGAAATGTGGTAATGTTCAGATAGAGAAATGTCAAAGGAAACAGTTATAAAATTGAAATCTTTCAGTATTTCATTCAGCATTTTCATAATTACCTTTGACGATTTCATCTCCAAACAAAATATCATTATTATAAGATGAATATAGAAAATTATACTTGTTGATAAGCTATTGTCAAATTGTTTTATTATCCCTTCATTGAAAATTATACTTGTTGATAAGCCATTGTGACATGTAATTCCCTCATTATGGTTTAGATAACACCATGTATGGCTCACAGATAATTTCTTAACTTTCTAACCAACAAAATACACCCACCCTTTGACCAGGCACTTGGCCCAATTCATGCCTATCTCTATGAGCCTCAAGATACTGTTGATCTAGCAATCCTTGATAAGTTGTCAATTTATGGTCCTGAAAATATCATCAACGCTTTCCTAAGTCTGAAAGTGAAAAGAAACATCCTCTGACAAAAGAAACCAAACCATATCAAATAAAAGTGATGTTCAATGAATAACAAAGAGACAAGTTTCTAGTTCTAAACTGTGAGGCACTGATTATTACTTTGAAAGGCCAAACAGTTAAGAAGAGAAACAAAATGTTCTGATGCCCACATCAGCTCTAAAGCAACCAGCAAAGACCCATCATCATTAGGCCTTATTGTGACTTCAAAGATATGATATGAGCCACAATAGATTGTGCTTATATATATTATGTAACTCCTGTCTTTATCTGGTCACTCTAGGGTGTTGTGGCCAAGTTTGCAGAATTCTCAACACCTTCTGAAGGTTTTAAATGAAAAGCTGAGGATATAATACCTAATCCAGTAACGACCTTTTGTCCAGCAGAGAAGTTCCCAAAAGAAGCTGAGGAAGCACCGCACGCTATTTGCTCTAAAAGCAAAAGAAAATCTTTAAAAAGTAAGTGTTGCAAAATCTTCAATCAACCTTCTCCGTTTACTTCTTGAAATGTTATTTTCCCCTTTTTGTCAGGGAATTAAGATACCGACATGTTGATGTAGCAGGGAATTTGTTGAATCAAGTCAAGGAGGAATAAACCATATTAAATGGCTTAACTTTGACTGAATCGATCTTATGTCATCTTGTTTCAGCTACACCGAAGCAACTTACAAGAGCTAAATAAAAGCCCCAACTGATTGGCATAGAATATAATACAACAGTTCAAAGATGTCACCGGAGAAAATATTATATACGAAGCGTTTGCTGTGTGTAAAATATCCTATGCCAAAGCCTTTATCTGAAACAATGACGTGGAAACCCATAGCTTTTGTTGGTTCTACTGATCTTCTTTAGTGGAAGAGATACAAGCAAAAAGGAACAGGCTGACCACTACTATAAATGTTACAATACAAGTTACAAATAAAAACCAGAAAAAATTCATGATAAATAATATCACAGTTTACAGAATGACCATCAATATAGGATCAATAAGAAACAAAGTAATTAACAAAAAATGAAAGACGATGGAGAAATTAATATAAAAAGAACATAACAAAATAAATAAAAAAAAAAAAGCAAAATGTGAATTAGAAAGTCTGAGAAAGAAATAAAAACAGAACACATGGGAAAAAGAAGTGTCTTATAAAGTGTGAAAGAACATAGGTAACTTTTCGTGGAATATTTTACCCCCAAAACACTATAATAGTGTTCTAGGGCTAAACATGTGTTTTCAAATGCTGTCATGGTAGTGCTGCTACTGCAGCTGCACCAGCCTTAATTGAAAACCACTTCACTCTTTGAATCCCGTAGCAGTTTCTGGATGCATTGAATGCCACTCCTCTATATCATAAACAAAATAGTTTTTATTAAGCCTAATGACATTAATTGATCCATGAGAACCAACGGACATGAATTGAGAGATTTATGGGTAGTTAAGAGAGCTATTGACAGGAAGTAGAAGCAGTCTATGATGTCAATTGCGGCCAATCATGGATAGTGATCACAAAATTTGAAGCTATGCAACTCCAAAGAGTGTAGCATCGCAAGTTTGAAAGCAGTTGTGATTTTGAACCAACTTGTGCCCCTCCATGTATGGGTTTTTTGCCACCTGGACCATCAGCAAGCTCAGTTGCCTATGCAAAGCACATGTATACGTGACTTGCTTTGTGGCCAAATTGATTTCTTCTGCAAAATTAATTCTTCCTTCTTTTCTCTGTGAAATCAATATATTTGCCTCTTTTTGTTTGGTAGTTTATTATTTTTAGGCCTTTCTGTAAACAATTGAAGACAAAAATGAAATGCAATGGAAGCTGGAATGTTCATCACACTACTTGGTTACCGCCAGAAACTTTATATAATTTAGAAGTTAAACCCTTATTTGATATTGATTATAATTCACGACATTACTGTTAGAATATGAAGTTGGAAGATTATACCATTTTGGATTTCGTCCACGGGTCTCCTGTGTTGCAGCTCCTAGTCCTAAAATGTTATATGATTGGCTTGACCATCCTCATTTGTCAAAATTAGAAAAAAATGTTCCTGAACTTAGGGGTCTCTAGACCTTAGAATGTGAGTCATGTCAACTAGGAAAACATGTTAGATCTACCTTTCCTAAAAAGTCTCAATCAATGTGTAATTCTAGTTTTTCTATTATCCATTTTGCTATTTGAGGACCTAGTCGCGTCTCCTCTTTTGGTTTTAGGTATTTTGTTAAGTTTATTGATGAGTATTCAAGATGTACTTGAGTTTATCTTATGAAAGATTGCTCTAAATTGTTACCCATCTTCACATACTTTTTGATTGAAATCAAGAATCAAATTGGTCAAGTAATCAAAATCTTAAGAAGTGACAATGCCAAAGAGTACTTTTCCTCCACTTCTTCCGCAATCTTAAGTTCTCATGGTATATTACATTAGTCCACTTGTCCTCATACAGCACACCAAAATGGTATAGTAGAGGAAAAATAAACACTTGGTTGAAACTGCTTGTACCCTTTTGCTTGGTATCCATATTCTTGTCCATCACTGGGGGATGTCATCTTAACTGTATGTTTTCTTATTAATAAGATGCCCTCCTCGAGTTTTCTTATTAATAAGATGTCCCTTTCTCCATTCTCTTTCCAAATGATCATATCTTTCACACCTCTCCTCGAGTTTTTGGCTGTGTATGTTTTGTTCATGACATTTCTCTAGGGCTAGACAAGCTTTCCACTTGTGTTATCAAATGAGTCTTCTTGGGTTATTCTCGTCGAAGTCTTGATCAAAGTCCTCCTGGACCCTCCTTTCTACATATTGATATCTTCCAACACAGGACCCCGATGGATAGTCCACTTCTCTAAGAAAATGGTGAATCCCCTACTTTAGATTCTTCTCCCTTGCCACTTCATACCACGCCTCTTGGTGAAGATGATTCAAGTTGGCCCATTGCTCTCAGAAAAGGTACTCGTTCCACTCAAAACCCACATCCTATTTATAATTTTCTTAGTTATCATAGATTGTTGGCTTCCTATTATTCTCTTTTATCCTCAGTGTCTTTTGTGATTATACCAAAAATGTGAATGAAGCACTTGATCATCCTGTATGGTGACAAGCCATGATTGTAGAAATGGATGCTCTTGACCATAATATTACTTGGGAGCTCTTGCCCCTTCCATCGGGCAAAAAGGCAATTGGTTGCCGATGGGAGTATGTAATTAAAGTCGGCTTTGATGGTGAAATTGATCGGCTCAAAGCTCGACTAGTTGCAAAAGGGTACACTCAGGTTTATGACCTTGAGTATTATGACACTTTCTCTCCTGTGGCCAAGATGACTACTATCCATCTCTTCTTTGTAATGGCAGCAATTCGTCATTGGCCACTTCATCAATTGGATTTAAAAAATGCCTTCCTCCACGATGATCTTGAGAAAGAAGTTTTATATGGAGCAAGCTCCTGGGTTTGTTGCTCAAGGAGAGTTTGGTATGGTATGCAAATTGCATCGATCCCTATATGACCTCAACCAATCACCATGTGCTTGGTTTAGAAAATTAAACTCCACTGTTAAAAAATTTGGGCTAAAACACACTAAAGCAAATCATTCGGTCTTTTACTGTCATACATCTCTCAGGAAATGTGTTTACTTAATAGTATATGTTGATGATATAATTATTACAAGAAATGATACTGCTATAATATCTCAACTAAAGGAGTACTTGTGTAGACATTTTCAAACCAAGGATCTTGGAAGCCTCAAATACTTCTTAGGCATTTAAGTAGCTCAATCAAAAGATGGAGTTGTAATCTCCCAAAGGAAGTGTGCTCTTTGATATATTACAAGAAACAGACATGATTGATTGTAGATTGGTAGACAGTCCTATGGACCCAAATTAGAAATTAACGACAAAAGAAGGGGAATTATTTCCGAATCCAGAGAGATATAGGAGGTTGGTTGGAAAACTAATTTATCTTACTATTACAAGGCCGAATCTGTCTTTTGCGGTTGGATTGGTTAGTCAATTCATGTAGGCTCCATGTGTTGGCCATTGGAATCGTATTGTTCGCATTCTAAGGTACATCAAAAGGGCTCCCAGACAAGGGTTATTATATGAAGATAAAGGAATCATTCAGGTCTTTGGGTACTGTGATACAAATTGGACAAGTTCACCTATTGACAGACAGTCTACTATCGGATATTGCGCTTTCCTTGGAGGAAACATTATTTTATGGAAAAGTAAGAAACAAAAATGTAGTAGCTCGATCAACAACTGAAGCTGAATATAGGGAAATGGTGTCACTAACATGTGAACTTATATAGGTGAAACAATTCCTTCAAGAGCTTAACTTCTGTGACATCCAGACTATGAAAATGTATTGTGATAATCAAGCCATTCTCCACATTGCATCAAATCCAATGTTTCACGAGAGAACTAAAAAT